CACACACACACACACACACACACACACACACACACACACACACACACTCTGTTGGCTGAAAAGTGATGAGTTTGTTCATGTCTCTTCTCTGATTAAAAGCTGAAGATTCTGTAAACTCACTGATTTCAGTCTGCTTTCATTACTCGCTGCTTACAAACATGGCAACAAACAATCATTGTTTGTATGCTGGTTGGTCGGTGTCTCTGGTTCTGTATTTGTAAACATGTTTAGATCCCACCTGAGAGTAAAAAACACGTTTTGCAGCAGAGAAGATGCGCTTCTTCAGTTACTTCTCAAGTGTTTTGTGCTCAATACATGTGCACACACACTACATGTGGTGAGCCTATCACAACAACAATGCTTAAATGGCCTCTTCGCTAAGCCCCGCCCCCGCTGTTATTCCGTCTAGCTGTCAGAGCCCCCAGAGGGTCCACACTGTCATTAACTGCACTCCCTGGATATAAATATCGCTGCCTTTTTTGTCTTCCTTCCCTATCAGGTGTCAGAGATGGCTGTGTCTGAGCTGCCCGGTAACCCCAACGCTGTGTGGACAGTACGCAGACATGTGGAAGGTAACAAGTTTCCTGTTTCAGACAACTTTTTTTCCAACCTCTCAAAAAAACTAATTTACAATTTGCCGTATAGGCAGTTAAAGACTGGATGCAAATAGAGGCGGTTCACCTTAAAGGTGCAACATGTCTAAAGCCAAACTTCCTTTACTCGGTTTTATAAAGATGATAATGGCAAGAAAACGCCCATATGAAAACCATACATTGATGCCATTTTGAATGTTTTTCGGTACGTTTTTTTGTTGTCTTTAGCTGCATTAAAGAAGCGTTTTTCTGAATAACTTATAGAGACACAATACATTTGTGTTTACTGTGTCACTAACTGGGTGCTGTACAGTCCATATATGATTTGATAGTTTTATTGGCTAAAAACCCAAAGTGTTACGTTAGCGGATTTACTTCTAAAGCAAAATCGAATTCAGCCAGTGCCGGTCTGCAACAAATCTGGGTCTAACCTGTGTAACGGCAGCCCACAGAAAGCTTGCTGATCTGAGTCAGTTCCCTGGGATCAGACCCAGAGTTTGCACTGGCTGAGATGCTACAGCCGCTAACTGAGGGTCCGTCCCAAAAAGCTGGCAAGCGGCAGGGAGGATGAAATGGAAATGGGTCATTTCTGCCACTTTGAATTGAATACAACAAAGAAACTATCAAACTAGGACACTGTACCTTCAACGTGATTGACAAATCACACTGAAGGTACATCTATTTATCATATTTAGCTCCATCTGCATTAAATATTTTTCTTATCAGTGCTGCTTTTTCTTTGTCTGCCTCTATTCCTTTCTTTCATCAGATGAGTTTGATGCCTACATCATCGTGTCTTTCGTGAACGCCACTCTTGTTCTGTCCATCGGAGAGACGGTAGAGGAAGTGACAGATTCTGGATTTCTGGGAACGACGCCTACTCTCTCCTGCTCACTGCTCGGTGAAGACGCGCTGGTGCAGGTGTGTGGGCCTTAAACATCATCTTCATTCGTACCTGTGATGATACTGGACAACAGTTGCATACAAACAGTCTTTACCATTAGATTTTATTACGTCACAGAATATGAAATTATCCGTGCGGATTAATAAAGTATCCTTCCGCCCGCCTAATTGAAACACAGTTTCAATTCAAGCATATCTCTATGCTTAGTTGTATGATGTATCGAGTCATTTAGAATTGCTTGTTACAAAGAATTTGATATTTTAACCCATAAATATTTATTTCCCTGTAACTCTGTGTCTTTCAATGAAATACAAATATATGCAAAGTGTTTAGAATTGCAACACAGATGACTACAACATCTGTGTGTATCCTCCACATCTGTAATGGTGAACTGAAGTACGCAGGAATTAATGTTGGAATAGGACAATAGACCATCCTACTACTTACTGTTTTCCCATCTTATTTCTTCTATTTCCCTCCCCGATTCTCCACACAGGTGTACCCAGACGGAATTCGCCATATCCGAGCAGACAAGCGTGTGAACGAGTGGAAGACTCCCGGCAAAAAAACCATCGTCCGCTGCGCTGTGAACCAGCGGCAGGTTGTCATCGCACTCACCGGAGGGGAGCTGGTCTACTTTGAGATGGACCCGGTAAGAGAGGAGATGGTTTTTCAGAGTTTCATATCTCGTGCTGCTTCAACCTCATAAGAAAGTCTTTATGGAATCTCAAAGGGATTTTAGGGTCGATCTGCTACTGCAGAACACAAACAAAATAAGTTAACTTTGCCCTAAGATTTTGCCCTACAAATATGAAAGACAAACTAAATAGTTCTCTGGTGCCATAATACACACGGGAGAAACTGAGCTGACTCTGCGTAGTAATGCTGTTTGTCTCTTTGGTTCCTTCCTCTCTAGTCCGGTCAGCTGAATGAGTACACGGAGCGGAAGGAGATGTCTGCAGACGTGGTTTGTATGAGCCTCGCAAACGTTCCACCCGGTGAGCAGCGTTCGCGGTTCCTGGCCGTGGGACTGGTCGACAACACCGTCCGCATCATCTCCCTGGACCCTTTGGTATGACCAGAAACACTAGTTTGTAAATTAAATCGACCCGTCAGCAAATAAACCAACACTCAGCACGCTGACACATTACCAATAAATGTTCTGTGTTTGACTGAACAAATCGTGATAAAAGTCAACGGTTGTCAGTTGAGTGAAGCTCTGTCGTGTTGTCACTGATACCTGATCAAACTATTTGACTGAGATACCAGCATCCCTAGTGATGAGCAGTAAATTATTTTTATCCTGCAACCAAATACATGTCACCATAACATACTAGCATTTGGTTTAAACCCCATTTACAGCTGCTAAATTTGTCTTGATGCTTGACAAGAATCCTCTCCAGTCGCAACATTTGTTTGGTTCCTTCTCAGGTCGGAGGAAACCATGTTTTTTCAATTAACAGTTCCCCAGGGCAAAGCTTGGGGAAACATGACCTTTGACTCCCTGTCAGTAAGGATCACCAATATAGCATCCTGTGCCCTTTAAAATATTTATTTTAGATTCACTATTTAGCTTCAAACACAGCCAAACTATCAATAATAGAAAACCATTCTGGCTTTGATAAGTTCATGTGCGCTTCATTGTACCTTTCTGAGGTAAAGTTGTACTTGCAGCATTATTTAAATTATACAATATACTCATTTCAAAAACATATGATGCAATTTTTCTGCAAACTGATGAGGAGTAAGTAATGCCTTGTGAGGTCCAAGTTAATAATAAATGAAAACGTGGTGCATGCAAATAGAAGTTTCTACAGGCAGCTTCGGGACAACTCTTGTAGTTAATCAGCTGATATCGGTGCTGACATTCACTCCTTTTTCATTGTTCCCAAAAGCTTCAAACAGCCTTTGATAAACCAAAACAAGTAAATTGTTAATTTCCAATGTCTATACCACTTAATGTGTTAAAGGAGGAGACCTCGTATATCAATGTGTGTTTTATGTTTCCAGTCTTCTGTATGTTGAAATGGTGTTAACCCTCTCATCCCTTTCAGGACTGCCTCCAGCCGTTGAGTATGCAGGCCCTGCCAGCCCAGCCAGAGAGTCTGTGTATTGTTGAGATGGGAGGGGTCGAGAAACAGGATGAACTTGGAGAAAAGGGAACCATTGGCTTCCTCTACCTCAACATAGGGCTTCAGGTATTCATTCCCATTCACCCAGCTGATTCCACTAATGTTGTTTTTAAATCACACCTGTGTGGTAGAATAGAAGTGTTCTATGCAGAGAACACTAGAAGTGCTCTGCATAGATTCAAGTGTGCGAATATCTATTTTACCAGTTTGAGCGATATTATAATCACATAACAGTGGATATCATTATATTATGTATAACATTATATACATAATACAGCGGCCTTACATCACAGTCTGAGTAAATCAATGATCTGAATCTCAATTGAATTAAGATATCTGCAACAACGTATGATATCTAACCACAACTTCAACTAAACATTAACCCTCAATCCAGAGCACAAGTCTGGAGGTTTTGGATTAATCTCTGTAAGCGACAAAGGGGGGAAAAAATATGTATTTTACATTCATCCTTCTAGAGGGCTAATGTGATATTTATTCTAGATCATGTCCTCTAGTAACATGTGTGTTTGCTCCCCTCCCTCAGAACGGTGTGCTGCTGAGGACTGTGCTGGACCCAGTGACTGGTGACCTGTCAGACACCAGGACACGCTACCTGGGGTCACGACCTGTCAAACTCTTCAGAGTCAGGATGCAGGGACAGGAAGCTGTATGTGACTCACACATTTATATGCATCAATACACATTAAAATGACTCCTCACTTTGCTCTCATGCAAGTATGAAATCGGACTAAGGAAGGAATCGTAACATAATATTTAAGCTCCTAGGGAGTTTGTCATTTTAAAGTTGATCACGTATTGAATCAGAGTTTGTCTGTCTCCTCTCGCTGACAGGTGCTGGCAATGTCCAGTCGCTCCTGGCTGAGCTACTCGTACCAGTCTCGCTTCCACCTGACCCCTCTGTCGTATGAGACCCTGGAGTACGCCTCTGGCTTTGCCTCCGAGCAGTGCCCTGAAGGCATAGTGGCCATTTCCACCAACACGCTGAGGTATGGATACACACTGCAACATAACAGCCTTATTTATTGTGTCAATGAGAAATGTTTGAGAATGGCACAAAAAGTCTTCCATCCTTTGCCATGTATCACACCAAAGTAAACAATAAGAATGTCAGGTATATAATGAACGCACCACGTTTCCTGATAATGTGCTGCACCTCCATCAGGTGTTGTGATGGTCAACAGAAACCCTAGATTACCGTGGCAATTAAATGTGTGGTAGAACAGCTCAGTCTGTTCTGTTGTAATCCTGCTTCGTGAAGCACTTTGGGCGGCATGATTGTATGAAAGGTGCCATAAAGAAAATGTGTCTTGAGTAGAGAAGCATAGATCTGACTTCGGCTGTACCCCTCAAGTTAACAATTATTTGCAACTGTCCTCTCACTTCTCCTGTTAACCCATCATTATCCGTCTGGCAGAATCTTGGCTTTGGAGAAATTAGGCGCCGTCTTCAACCAGGTGGCCTTTCCTCTGCAGTACACTCCCAGGAAATTTGTGATCCACCCGGAGACCAACAACCTCATTTTGATCGAGACTGACCACAACGCCTACACCGAGGCAACCAAAGCCCAGAGAAAGCAACAAATGGCTGAAGTATGTCAATGAGATGACGGTCCCATTAGTAAAACTAAAACCTGCTCTCAGGTCTCTGACAGTAATACATTGATTAGAGCAGAGAGTCGGTCTGGTGGTTAGAGCTATTATTATTTTTCCAGTTAAAATCTTAAAAAGAAACCATTTGTAAAAGACACTTTGCTCTTCCTTTCTTGTCCCTTTTGAATAATTGTCCACTATAATCAGCGTCATTTGAGTTTCCTGTTGGGAATGTTTGGTCCAGTTTGTAGTTTCCATTCAATTGTCAAGTGAATTTTAAGTGAACTTGTAAAATGTTACAAATTAGGCACATGTCCATCCACTGGGTTGGAGGGAATAAAATGGGCTGCGTAGTTTCGGCAGACGTTGATACTGTCGGCTTCACTTAACGCACGGCTGTAATCCGCCAATAAACGGAAGAAGTAGTAGAGGTTGCAAACCAGAAACAAAACAAGTCACCGTGGTCCATCTACAAGAGAAAAATGGAGACGTGTCGGCTAATATTGGGAATATTTCATGCTTAAGTCGATATAAATGTGTCTGGGAAGAGGCTGATAGCAGAGGCAGCTGATCAGTCATGCGAGTTAAGTTTGCTACGTCAGAATGTGTTCAGCAAAGTCTTCATAATCCATTTAGGAAATCAACTCTTCTTTTGACAAAGACACAAACCGCCTCAGATGAAGCTAGAGCTTTCTTTTCAATTGGAAAGTTGAAGACGGAGCCAGACTTCACAAAGTAATAAAGAGAAATGGAGAGAAAGTGTCTCTCCCAGGGGGTTTAACATGTGCTGTAATACAGACCATTTACAGTGCAGAGACCACGCAGGCTGAGCATCAAGGCCACCTTTTTGACATCTCCGTTATTTTAAGCCTGGAAAAACAACTGTAGCTTTGTGTCCGATTCATGTAACTGTTTTGTTGATTCGTTTTGGTTCCGGTGTGAGTTGTGGTCTGTGCAGGAGGCCACGTAACACCGGTAGCCTGTAGGCTAACAGATGGTCGGGTCAAACATTATCTGCTTGATCAGGCTAATTTAGCAAGGCCGCAGACAATGCCAACACCTCTCAGGAAAGAAAAATAATCTCATGAACGTGATATCTCTATAACTTCTTGGAGGGAATTTCATCAAATTTGGCCCAAACGTCCACGTGGACTCGAGGATGAACTGATTAGAAGTCCAGTCAAAGCATGCATTCATTCGGAGAACATGTTGCAGCAAAAAAAAAAAAAAAAAAGACAAACTCAGCCACGATCCTCTTAAGTGTGAAAGTTTTCTACGCAGAGACACAACAATGTGGTGCTCTGAAACTCAAAAAAAAAAAAAAACTCAAACTGCCTGAAAACATCCCAGAGCGCTTTAAGACGGCATCTTGTCCCGTTTACTCTTTGTCCCGACTGAAGCATGAGGATGATCAACATGTGGAGCGTGTTTCTGTTGCTAGTAGTCGCTTCATTTGTTGTTGTTTTTCTGAATATGTCTTCATTGCCCCCATTTTAAGTCTTTTCTGCACAGCTGCTTTTATGGTACCATAATGTTACATCTAGTGTAATATAAACAACGGTGAACAGCAGCAAAATGTCTTTAGAAGCCGGAACCAGCAAATAGTTCAGTTTTCCTGAAGCCTCTTGGAATAAACCGGCTATTTGTCGGTGCAGATGTTGACAGAAAAGTTGCGAGCAGAGTTTGCTGTCATGAACTTAACGATACATAACTTTTATAAACTCGGACGTTAAAATTTGGAGATTTGGTCAACTTAATAATAATAGCATAATAATGTATAAAGACACACAATATGTGCAGTGAGTCAGTCAGGTAAGATGAGTTTTGTATGACAACAAATGCACACAAAGCAGTTGTTTACAAATGAAATCAATTTGTTACGTAGACGTAGATTAAATATATATATATATATATATAAAAGATTCAAGGACTTACTAAGACTAGCATACCAAGAAAACGTCTCTCTGTTCCTCAGGAATGTGGATGCTCATAAAAAACGGAAATATGGGGTCTTAAAACACGGTAGACCCGGCCGTAAAACAGCTGGAGTGTCGAGTGACACCAAGTCCTATCTTGAGTTTGTCCAGGCACGTGGGAAATTGAGAGTCTAACCATTTAGTGCCCTCTGGATCGTGAGAGCCGTGCCTGAAAGAGATTTATTAGTTAAGATTGTGTCATTGTCGATATGTCCCCCTGAACGGGTCAGCCACCCGGTAATGGGGACATGATGGTTTCCCTTCAGCTGACCTGCTTTGTTCTTTGTTGCTGTTGCCTCGGTAGGAGATGGTGGAGGCTGCTGGGGAAGATGAGAGAGAACTGGCTGCCGAGATGGCCGCTGCCTTCCTCAACGAGAATCTCCCAGAAGCCATTTTCGGTGCACCCAAAGCTGGAGCTGGACAGTGGGCCTCGCTGGTGCGTCTCATCAACCCCATACAGGGTACAACACTGGACCTGGTGCAGCTGGAACAGAACGAAGCAGCTTTCAGGTGAGCAGGTTAAGTTTCATGTAAATCAAGTATTTCATTCGGATGAGGAAAGGATGAACAGAGAGATGGAGAGCAAAAAGGAGAAAGATAAGGCTCAGCGCCATAACGTAGAGCTGACATGAACACACACAGGACCTACAGACATGGGTCATTATCTGCTGTGGAGAGATGGCAGCGTGATGAAGCTGCTGTCAACCCAGCATACATCTGCAGGAAAGCAATATTTCAACTGCTTTGGCTGCACTGCAGTCTTCCATCTGCCTCTGGTTTTACACAGCCATAGGAGGCATGTTATCTAACAGCAAGCTAAAACAAAACAGTCTAGCCTCGATAAGTATCTAAGTAAATTTGGCAAACTCTTGTAGACTTTACTAGCAAAGAACCCGCACTCCCAGCCTCTCCTCCTGCTACCTGCCAGGAAGTGAATCCACATTAGCAGAGGGAGCATGAAGTAGTGATCGTGATAGTTTTCGATGTTCTTCTTAAATCTCAGTCAGTGTTTTGATTTCTGAAATATTATTTGTTACTAAGATTTTACTTTTGTTTCCAGGGAGATTGAGTTGATAAGGAGACTTTGCAGTTGTAAATATCTTGTCTTGCTTTATATCTTCTTAAGTTTAAAAAAAAAAAAAAAAAAAAGATTGAATTCTCATCCAGTTCTAAATATATTTTTCTTTTTACAGTAATAGAAAAGATCAGAAGAATTATGGCATAAAACTATGAATCAGTTATGAAATGACAGGAAGGAAGATAATTGAAGTGAGTGGAAAGATGAGTAGATATCAGAAAGGTTAAGCAGTGCTGAAAGAAAAGGTTTTGCGTGACATATTGTGATAGCTCTGAATTCAAATTGGTGTGTGAGGGTAACTGAGGTAATGAAATCCAGAGTTCCCTCCAAAACTCCCAGCACCTCATAAATCCGATCTGAATTTGTCCGGCAGCCACAGTTCAATTTTTTGGTCAGTTGAAGCGGAACAGAGGATCTTTTTAAAGCTTTTATATTTACTGTTATCTGGTGATCAATTGCTGGTTTTGTCCTTAATTATAAGAAACAGAGTTGTTGCGTTATCTTCTTCCTTTCCTGCAGTAACGGGCTCGCCCCTGCTCTGGGACAAACACACAGACCTGCCGCTCTAAAAATAGTTTTTAGGAAAATGCTGCATATTATATAAATACAGGAATTATGTAAGAAAGAACAGAATCAATTTTTTTAATCCATGGTCACTTGTAATTAACTTATTTAAGATGTTTTGTTTTTCACTGAAAAAGGATGTACTCTACAAAATGAAGTGTGTCCCATACAACAAAACTATTTGTTTCTTAACATAATGTAAGATGAAGTGAAAGCCGACGTTTGGTGCCATTTAAAGAGTTTTGAGCATCTTTTGCTAATTATCAGGATAATATCGTTAATTGCAATTATTTTGGCCGGGATAATCGTAACATGAAATGTTCATATCCTCTCATACCTAATCAGGATTGTAAATGTATTTCTCCTACCCTGTCGCAGCCTCTAATGCATCATGTTGAGTGGTGTTCATGCTCTGAGGAAATGTTTCTATAGTTCAATGTCTGTGTAGGACGTCTTTTATCATTTGTTCTAAATTCTCCGACTTTTAAATTCTCCCAGGAGCCTGTTACTCACACCTCGTGTCCTTCCCTTTTCCTTTGTTTGTTATCTTTCAGCGTTGCTGTGTGTCGTTTCCCAAACATAGGAGATGATTGGTATGTTCTGGTGGGCGTTGCCAGAGACATGATTCTCAACCCCAGATCATCGAGCGGTGGCTTTATCTACACCTATCGGCTCATCAGTGGAGGCGAGAAACTGGAGTTTGTGCACAAAGTGGGTTTGACATTTAACTGAACCTAAATGAAATGATACATTAGATCGCTGATCGCTTTGTTTGCAGGTTTTTTTCTTGGACATTTATTTTTACCTGCAAAGCACCTTGAGGAACCAGATTGCAACTTACTCATAAAGTTACTGCTGAACTAGGGCTGGGTATCGGTAGTGACCGAAACAAGCCAGAACCAAGTAGTATCTAAACTTCTCCGGTCAAACAATACCGGCTATAGATCCTTTTCTGTTCAGATCTAGAATATATTTAGTTTGGGTGTTGGCACACAAATGACCAATGACTGCTACGGCTCCGCGGCAGTTTTGAAAATGAAATGTAGCCAATGTGACTGACGTGTTACTGGGGTCAGACATCTGTATATACATACCTGCAAACTTGTCACTTTTTCGGTGTCACTTTTTCACCGTTTTGAATCAAAAATATATCATCCACGTGAATTGTGTAGATCCGTAGAGTTTTTCTTCCGGGGGGGTCAACTGGCCAGCCGGCCAGCCAGCGTTTCTCAGATTGGAGTGAGACGAGGAGAAAATGTGATGTCGTGATCTTCACAATAGAACATCTTTGATGTGTCGAGTCTTGGCCAATCAGCGCTCAGATGTCTACAGCGTCTTCATTTCCCTCCGTTAAAGTTTAAGTTACGCTATTTTCCGTCACCGTTCAGACTTGCTGGGTTAAGTTAACGTCCACTGCATGCGGAACTTTGTCGACTGTTAACGTTCGTCATAATCGCGATTTAGAAGGAAAAACGTAACGTGATGAAACATGCAGCCCCCTGTGTTCCGGTTCAGTTCACGCGGTCACTCATTAACGTTAAACCAGAACACCGGTGCATCTGGTTGCAGGTTGTTTGTTTTAACTCAAAGTAGAATGAGGATGATTTCGTGGTCAGAATAACTTTCATGACCACGAAACATGAGGTGACTTGTTTGGGCTTCTCTGCTCACTTGGACCACATCCCTATTAAGCATTGGAAACTTTTAAGGAAAAGGCCAGTAATAAAACATTCTTAGTGATTTTCCAGATAAATTCAAACTTGTGACTGTGATCTTGTTTGAAAAATACAATTCACAAAAATGCGGTATTTTCTTTCTTTTTTTTTTTAATACCCATAAATCATACCATGACGATACACATCCAGATATGCTGAAGTTGATGGTAATTCTTAAAGGGAGAGTTCGTAATCTTTGCGGTGGGGTTGTATGAGGTACTTATCCACAGTCGGTGTATTACCAACAGTAGATGACGGTCGGCACGCCTGCAGTTGGAGAAATGAACAGCAATGTACTGCTGTGGACGGGGGGGCAGCAGCAAAACCTATTTTAAATGCAGCCGTTTGTCTGTTATACACATTTACACATACTAATGTTTGTTCTAACAACTACTACAACAGCCCATGTCCACTCGTCACACCTTTTTGAGTCAGTTATGCCTGAAGGAGGATTTGTCTCATGCTGTGTTTAGTGAGACATTGGACCCTACTTCAAAAAGATGTTCTCAAGAAATGTGTTTCTGTTAAACAAACAGATGCAGCTCAAACAAAATGCCTTGAATAATCGTATTAGCTTTGTGTTTTGATTGGCAGACCCCGGTAGAGGACGTGCCTTTGGCCATTGCTCCATTCCAGGGACGAGTCCTGGTTGGAGTCGGGAAACTGCTGAGAATCTACGACCTGGGCAAAAAGAAACTGCTCCGCAAGTGTGAAAACAAGGTAAGACGAGGACCCAAACACGCATTTATCTACGTACCTAATGTCTAATAAGTTAGGCAGTCACATTGGGCCGCGTGCAGGAAGTGATAAATACGCAAGAATGTCATATAATCTAATTTAGATGATTATATGTTTTAAAGTATGATTGGATTATTACATTCATGGGTTAAAGGAATGCACTGATTCCAATTAAGAAGATAAAACCCTTGTATGATGCGGAATGCGTTCAGCTTCTCAGGCATCATGATGGAGCCACATTAATCAAATGTCTCAAAGTCGAGATGAAACGAAAAAGGCCTTTTTAACCCTTAAAGATCACATCCTCAGTTATATTGTGCACCTATTTAACTATATATGCAACAAAAAAAATGTATATCAATGTCCAATCATCTTTTCTTCCTGCAAAACAAAATGCGACGTGTGCTCGCGTAAGCGAGTACCAACCAATTATATGAAGACATACATCCATCAAGCTGCAACTTTTAATGACAGGGAGTTGTGTGTGGAGCCAAAATTCCTCTGTAGCTCCATATCACGCTACGTTTTAAGCCCAATAAAATGTAAAGAATTGAATTTGAATAAATTCAAATATTCCATTTCACTGTGAATGCGTCACAGTTCAGACACCAAACTTCCTTTTCACTGTGACTTTAATGGCTTAATTTGATAAAAGAAACTAGTATATCAAATTGAAGTTGGCTTTTCCCTCCTGCAAAGAACATTTTTAATTTTATCGGACAGTGCATGACAGCAATGATTGAAATGAGTTTAATTGTTTAATTCAAAAATGGATCTCCTGCTCTTTTTCTGGATTAGATATAATTTGAAAGCGCGTCGATTTAAAATGAATGGAGGACAGAAATGTTCAGATTAGGATCTGTCTGTGAAAGTGTTTGCTTTTCTACTAATAAATAACGTCCTTCAACCAGAGTCCTTTCCCAAGTAGCAGTGAGACAACCGACTGTTGTTAACCTGCTCACAGTAGAATCTGTGTTCACAAACAGAGTGCGCTGGGAAGCGCTTTCTTTAATGCCTCTATGACGACAATATCTTGACGATATTTTCACCACTCTAACCGCCATTGTTTGGTTAACTAGCATCGCTCGTTTGCTTTGTATTTATGTTTTTTTGGGTGGTGTTCTATACCGGTTTCATCACAGTCATCGGTGTTGCGCTCGGCCATGACATGGATTTTGCAATAACATATACACGTGTACGAGGGAGATGCAACACCCGATGAAGTACGTCGCTCCGTTGCATCACAGAACCTCTCGCCTTTCATTGTGGCGCCCAGGATAGAGCAGCGCGGCTGAGGACGCTGAACTGCTGCGGCTCGCACGCATAAAACATTGCTGCTACTGCCAGCCCTCAACAGAATTTCTGTTTATTTGTTATATTTTTAAGCTCTTCGTGGGGGTGAAGAGGTTAATGTCAGCTTTCGGTTTCTTCAAATATGTAATATGTAATGTTCTTTTTGTGTAATGTAACTCCCAGTTTGGCTGTGGCCAGGAGGTGAAAAGAACAGTGAATATGTTGATTTTTATTCCCAGATATTCTTTATTGCCTAGATCGTGCAGAGTGTGGTCATGCAAATTAAAGAGCCGATGGTGAATATGTGCTGTTTAAACAGAAGACGCATTGCCGGTTTCACAGCCTATTTGGAAAAAACAAACATCTTTCTAAATATTTTACGAAATATTTGTACGCGGATTTTACTTTTTTATACCCGTTTGGTTTCTCCCTTATTGGATGTGTCCTCCCAAAAACACAAAGTCTGTCACTGAATCAGTTTTAATGAATGATCACCGGGAACGACATCAGACTTTGGCTCGGCTTCTTCTAGTTCTTTTGGTGTTTGAGGAGACGAGAGACGATGTCCTGCTTTAATCCAGGTTCTCACAAAAGGCACTGGATCAAAATGTGTCCAACGGAGGAGGTCCGTTTAGACAAACCGACATGAAGATCTACTGTCTACTGTCATAAAGCCCCCTGGCTGCTTGTAATGTTTTAAATAAATAACTAAATGTTCAATGCCATTGTTTAAATGAGGAAGTTTGGATGTAGAGAGGTCTAAAGAGAGTGATACGTAATTCATGATTACAGTTCTACAAGAAGAATGACATGTAAATGTCTTTGAATGTATAAATTGTAATATGAACGCATGCCCACTGATGAGTATAAATTGCTGAATTGAATATGTACATGACGAGATTTAAGAGACAGACGGTGATCACATCATATGTTAATGTTAAAGGAATTATTTGCTTTGAATAGTGCTTGAATTTCCCTTTGTAATTATGTCTGTGTGAACAGTACATGTGTTGTGTCTTTTGAGTGCGCTTCACCGGGTGTGCTCTATTGTTCTCCTGTTTAGCACGTTCCCAACCTGGTGACCAGCATCCACACCATCGGCCAGCGTGTCATCGTGACTGACGTCCAGGAGAGCCTCTTCTGGGTTCGTTACAGACGCCACGAGAACCAGCTCATCATCTTCGCCGATGACACATACCCCCGCTGGGTGACCACGGCGTGTCTGCTCGACTACGACACCATGGCCTCTGCCGACAAGTTTGGGAACATCAGCATTGTAAGTTTGGGGGGGGGGGGGGGGGAAGAGAGGGAGAGGGAGAGGGAGAGAGAGATGTCTAGTATATGATGCGTCAGATTAGGCGCAGTTGCCTCTTTGGTGCATACGACGCAGAAATCATACAATATCGACCGTGTTTGTAACGCATACAAAACTTCTGGAGCCCAGTGAGACTGCCAACCAAATACATGTCTTCATTTTCTCAGGTGCGTCTACCCCCCAACACCAGTGACGATGTGGATGAAGACCCCACAGGGAACAAAGCTTTATGGGACCGAGGCCTCCTTAATGGAGCATCACAGAAGGTAAAACGATCGTTCTCCAAACCGTCCGCCCTGCAAGGCTTCACAAGCTTTGTCCGGGTTCAGGCCTGTTCTTAGGCGAGCACTAAGGGTTAGTGCCTGAAACGGATAAATTACCATAAAATTCATTTGTAAGTTGATGACAAACAAGCACAATTCCAATAAAGCCAGTAAAGCATGAGACTAGGCCAGTCTTTACTGCACAGCTAAACTTATGTGTGCATTTTTTCGCCTGGCCAGACTATTCTTCAGCATTTATGTGTAAGACAGGAATAAAGAGAGAGCAACAGTTGGTTTTAATGTTGAAACGCTCACTTCAGGCTTTAAGTAGTCTTTCAGGAAGAGACTTTGTGTCTTTTGTTGAGCCCAAGCCGCACAAGTTAGAATGATTCAGGCTGGCTGCTGCTACTGCCAAAATGTCCGGCCCATCTACTAATCTGCCTCCTCCACGGTTCTGACCTCCAACCACCAATGCACAGTAACACAGCACACATGCACATTCACAGACTGCATAACATCGTCAACCACAAGTTGAACCTACTCACAAATGCAAGCGTGTAAACACGCACACACACACTCATAGATTGCAGAAACACACACGGAACAACTCATCCCATATTTAAATGCTGGTCAAAAACTGTTTAGGTAGCAGATGGAGTGGGAAAGTCCCTCAACCTTAGACATTATGAGTTGGTTCCAGTTGTCTTAGTGACACAACGTTTGTCAGCTATTTGTGCCTCCGTGCACATTGATTGAGAATTTAGTTTGAGTTTGGAAATGTACCGTGTCTGCGTTTAGATGTGGGCGAGCCCGGGGGAACTTAATTATCCATACATGGCTCGTCTAAATGCTGTCTTACATTAGATTATATGCATTCCACTTTTATTTCATTAATGTATCTCAGAAGATGAAGGTCAGGGAGACAAAGTGGTCCGTTGAGCGAGATGAAAGGACTGACTGTCTTAACCCCAAATGTCAGCGTGTGTCAGGGTGATTTCTGTCATGTAGCTCAAACTGTCTACTTGGGAGTCCTTCCCTTCACCAAGGCCTGAGATAACTTCCTTTCCACATCTTTTGAGTCATGCTAAGCCTTTATTGGTCGGTGGAGACATTTCCACTGTTGGAATCCCCCATGGAGCCAAAGACGTGCCTCCGTTAACTGTCAACGTGACGGAGAGTGGCTTAAAGCTGCAATTAGTCACCAGGACTGGCTGACTGCAGCCTCACAGAGCATGGCTGTAGACCTTTAAGTCAAAGCCATGCTTTCCGTGGCTGCTACGGTTCAAGCGCTGTAAGTTTCATCATCAGAGGGTGTACGTGTTTGCTCGTATCGATATATCGATATTCTTTTTTTACTCCCTAATATGGGCATCGGTCCCAAAAGTATCGGCCATGCTCGAGTTGTTTCCCACCAGAGACGGGCAGAGTTTTTGCACACTTCTCTCCCTCAGTTGTCTTTCTTGTGGTGTGCTTTCTCCGTCTCAAGGCGTGTATATACATGCTGTGTATGCAGTTTGCGCCCCAATGCTGTTTTTGTATCCTGAGTACATCCTGAGTATTTCCTCTAATTATTGACAAAGAGGGTTTCTGATGGTTATTGGATTAGATCTGACCATCCGAACCAATTTCCTCTCAGCAGAAGATGACAGCGTGTGGCTTCTTTGTGACCTTGGCACAGAGTTCATGTACTTCATGTACTCGAGACATGAAATGGCTTCAGTGACGCATGATTTCATTCCTCATGTCCTAATAAGACTGCGGACAGATAGACACTACCAGCTGTAATCACTGACGAGAGGTCATTGAAATATCATTCTAGGCTTTCTTGAACCTGACCTGTCAGATGGTTTGTTACAAAGAACCATCTGAGAAGCCGTCATGTCTGTGATGAGATAATATATAAAAGTAATGACTCTGACTATGCATCAATATTTCATACAACACCACTCCACAACTAGCTCTTAATTAATAGCATCCCTAATAACTATCTGTATTTCCATTGGGATCTGTTGAAGTGATCATATGGTTGAGTTCTGCCAGACAGGAAAACAACAAATGGCTGAAATTCTTCTCCTCCATTTCGTCTCCAGGCTGAGGTGATCGTGAACTACCACGTTGGTGAGACCGTGTTATCCCTCCAGAAAACCACTCTGATCCCGGGAGGCTCGGAGTCCATGGTCTACACCACTTTGTCTGGAGGCATCGGCATACTGGTCCCATTCACCTCACATGAGGTATAACACACACACACACACACACACACACCACATGTCATAAGAGGATAACGCCCACGCCACACTGCCTGGTGAGCAGCACGTGACGGCTGCGTCTCTCTAGAAAGTAGCGTTGCTGCTGCCAGCCCTTCTTTCTAGGAAGAGAAATAGGCAGAATTTTTCATTCATTTATAAATCTAATTTATTATAATTTAGACAGAAAAAAAGCAGTCAACAACTATAATTTAAGGAGCATGTGACTCACTGCATTTTCCAGCAAATGGATCAGAAGAGAAGCCTTGTTGTGCACACATGACAGGATTCTGTCCACAGAAAGATGCTAGAGAAGTTTGTTTTGAAAGGAAATGGGCAGTGTTGGTACAAATATACATTATGTTTTTATTGTCTGTGACATGTTGTACAGATATAGACCTCAGAACTGTAGTAATCTTCACTGTCTGTCGTTGCTGTAATCTGCACGTGGAGAAAGTAGGCGAGACCTCGAATCTCTAGCAGAGAATCAGCTTCACATGGAACACGGCGAAATATCAAAGCAAGAGGTTCCGTGAAGCACACGCCCAACTCGCATGGCGCACTGCATCGTGGTTAATGGGAGCTGGCACATTTGATGATCAATTAGACAATTTACTCAAAATTAGTTTCCTCAACTCTGTTTGTCTCGTTGCACATTTTTTAGCCATCATTTTTCTGGCCACCTTATTCTTCCTTCTTCTCATGTTTCCCGTTGCTCTTTGTCTTTTTGTCCAGGACCATGACTTCTTCCAGCATTTAGAGATGCACATGCGCTCTGAGTTTCCTCCACTGTGCGGCAGAGACCATCTCAGCTTCAGGTCCTACTACTTCCCCGTCAAGGTTGGTATTGTTTTTACATGTCTAGAAAGATCTCCTGTCTCCTTCAGATGTGCATTTCAGAATCATGGACTATTAGAAACCAATATGCCCTGAGTCTTTTTTCTCTTCTTGGTATTTCTTTCCAGAATGTGATTGACGGAGATCTCTGTGAGCAGTTCAACAGTATGGACCCTCATAAGCAGAAAAGTGTGGCAGAAGAGCTGGACAGAACGCCGCCCGAGGTCTCCAAGAAACTGGAGGACATTCGCACTCGCTACGCCTTCTAATAGTACACCTTCATGCAGCTGGTGTGGACAGAGACGCACTCATTAGGACCGTCACACACACACACACACACACACACACACACACACACACACACACACACACACACACACAAATCCTTCTCTGCCACAGTGTGCCCTCTGTTCAGGACCTGGATTGATGGACATGTATGGATTGTTAAATGTTTGACTGTGGGCAGATGCACACTGAATAACATGGAAACATTGTAATTCCCGCATTGCGCTGTTATGATACAATTGACATGCGGCTCTTCTTCTTTGCCAACGCAAATACTTGCAATCGAGACTAAAACATACACCCACATAGCCGCGCCGCCATCCCTCCACCTGCATACTTGCTCCCCCCCCCCCCCCCCCCCCCCCCCCCC